CCCCCCCCCCCCCCACAAACCCTAAACCCCAAACACGAATTAATGAACCCTAAACCCCAAACCCTCGAGGGCTGTAGGGTTTGGGGCTTAAGGCTTTGTTTTGCCGGCCTTCCCCTCCAGATCCTCCAAGGTGGCATCAGGATTCCTGGGTTCGGCGTTTAGGGTTTAGGGGTTTAGGGGTCTCGGATTTAGAGGTTTAGGGCTTAGGGATAAGGGTCTGGTGATTTAGGGTTGAGGGCTGAGGGCTTTCTTCGCAAAGAAAGGGAGGGTCAGTGATGTGGGGGCCTTCACAGTCGGACTAGGGTTCCGCTACAGGGTTCTACAAGGGTTTATAGGGTTGTTGTGGGATTAGAGTATAGCTAGGGGCCTCAATAATTCGAACTTGGTTTGGGCTAAGTGATACTATACTTGTATAGGCCTACAGGAAGCCTGATTGCGGACTGCAGGGTCGGAGCTTTCCTAAAGCTAGAGTCACCCACTTTTTCTGTAAGGTATCACTGCAAGTCCTAACATAATACCTATACTCGGACCCTGCTGAGAAGCAGGTTCTATAAGCTTCATCTTCAGCGGCTGGAGTCGTCGAAGGTGTAGAGATGACAGAAATGCTCGGGCTGCTTGACTTCGGCCGTCCTACCATAGACCCTGAACGCCTACACGTTCTGAACCCTATAGCCGCAAAACCTTGAACCCTGGTCATAAAGCCTAAACCATAAACCCCACATCTGAAACCTTCCTTAACAACCTTTCAAGCTGTCTGGCGCATAGCATAAAGGCACCGGGGCTCAGATCTAGACTTCGGCGCTTGCAGATTATCCGTTAGGATCAGTGGCACTTGTTGGGGACGGGATTGTGGGTATAGACCTGAAAATCCCATGTATCCATATATAATGTAAATAGTTTGACCCTAAGGTACATTTACAGGAACCGCTTCAAGGCCAAGGTATGTACCACATATACATCCAAGGATCCTTACGGATTCTTCGAGACGGCGTTGAGGATAGAGTATGTGCCACAAGTCACGAGACGAGTTATACAAAAACAACTTACGAGGGGCTTATGACTCAGGGGGACTGACTTGCGCAGTTACCGTTACTATTCCTGAAACCAGTATTCAACCCAAGCATCGTCTTCCACATCTCTTCGAGTTTGTTCACCTGCAAGGGACAGGCGCATCCCCAACCCGAAAGCTTCGGCTGTACGTCAGCTTGTTTTTATCCTTGCGGAAGATAAAGTCCTGCCCTGAATCGACTCGACTAAAAAAGGTTGCAACCCCTAGAGCTCCTACTAACAAGAGTAATGGCTTCGGGCTCGGGAGAAGTTGAAATCTGAAAAAGCCCACCTTGTATCTGCATACGATCAAGCTCCAAACCCGCTAAATCCCAAAGCCCTGGAAGATGTCTTGGACAAGGCAGTGCCTTGTAAGATGCATGAATCTCAGAAGTCGTAAACAGAACCCCTGCACTTGCCCTAAACCCCCATCCGAGAACTTCTGAGTCAAAGACCTGCTCTACAGTCATGACTGTTTACCCAGACTTTCTCAAACAAAGGTCTCGAGCATGCTGCCCCGCATCTACCCGCCTGCGCAGCAGTAATGTTCCAGGAGCGCATTTGCTCCTGGCCCATGCTTCGTGGTGCTTGGGAATTAATGAAAGTGTTTTAGATGTTGCTTTGATAATCATCGAGTCCATGGCTTTGGGTACGTCATCCGGTAAAACGATACAAGATGCCTGTGAAGCGCACCTCTCAAGTATTTCTGCTTCGGAGTTTCGGACAATACGGGACCCTTAAACCAGACCCTTCAATGTTTTTTTCAAAATCAACCCACCCCCTCAAAGCGGGCTCCAAGCCGCAGCAGCCCACACTGAGACACCTTAAGGTTGCAACAATTCCGCAACCTCCTTGATTGTGGGACCCCTGCACATTCTGCCCCTACTCACATTAAGACCTTGCAAACACGTGGGCGATGGTAGCTTGAGGTAAATTCCAACCGCGCCTCAGTGATTGAAACTTCTCAGATTTCGCGGCATCTGTGACTTTCGTGTTTGTAGTGCGTGTGGAGCCTATGGCTTTTACGGTCATCGTCTAGGGCTACTCAGTCTTGATGAATCACTAGGGGTTTAGAGGGTACTTTGTGATATACCAAGGGAGATCTAGTTATGTAGACCTCTATGTATCACCGGAGCCTTGGCATCGGGAACCTTCACCAGCCAAGGCAGGAAGCTCCGATCTTCGATGAGGGGCCTTCAGCTTTCGGCGATGAAAGGCATGGGGTCTGGAGATTCAATCATTAATGGGGTCTAGGGATTCACTCATTCAGCAGGGTTTAGGGTTTTGGGCTTAAGGCTTAAGGCTCTTAATCTTAAGGGTCTAGATGATTTTTTGAGGTTTAGGGTTCATGGCCAGGGTTTTGGGGCTTGCCGCCAAAGGCCTGGGGCTCTACGAATTTAGGTTGCGGTCTGAGCGAAGGGGCTTAGGGATTTCATGGGTTTTCCCTGAGGGTTGAGTTGGATCGGGCTGAGGCTTTTACGAGGGGTTACAAAAAGCTTCGTTAGTTCATAGTAAACATGTGAACTACTCTTTGCATGTGCCCTTCCGAGCTTTTTCCATTATTGGAACCAAAAATACATGAAAGCTAGCGCAGGTCGTGCTGCAAGGGAGAGCAGGCGGTCTTAAAGCTCTTCCGGATTCTTGCCACTAGTGAGGGGCTTTCTGCAGCAGGGCACCGTAATGTAGGGTTTCTAGAACTGCCGGTCGGAGTCCTCTTGAGGTGCAGGGTTAAGAGTGCAAGGCTTAGCTCCGGCTTTGGTGTCTCTTACGTTTCATTGAGCTTCGTGGGGATGGTTCATGCCAACTTGTAATTTCAGTGAACTTCTATCATCACGGCTTGGATCAGTGCCAGCACAACTCACAGAGCCCCTTTGTAACCCATTTCTGGCCTATGTCGTCTTTATCACTGCTCTGCGGAGGTGGGAGCTTGCAATTCCTGCTACCGCTACTGCCGCTACTAGATGCCGCAGGCGACGACCTTTGGTAGATGATTGGTGGGACTGTAGTTGGAAGAGCCAGGGTCACGGAGGTCGTTGGAAAAGTGTGGGCCCTGTTCCTGATGCAGTCTTGGATGTATGTCTCGTTTAGGAATCTTATCGAAAGAGAGCATCGGCGATCTTGAGACCGATGCATGTCTTATCCTCGAAGCCGCACATCCGTCAACATTGCAGACCCCAAATTAAAGCATGGACGCCGTAAGCCCAAGAAGCCGTAACCCAACCCCCAGCTAAGGAATCCCTCTGATGCAAGTCCAAGCGACTGCCACTGTGCAAGATCCCAATTCGAGTCCTCTCAGATTGGAACTTTCCGCGGCTGTCTCGTGGGAATTTGAGGATTCTGGGGGCACTCTACTTCGGTTCCGGTTAACCTTAAAGGGTCGAAAGTACCTATATAGTAGAATGTAGGACTGATTTCGGGAAGCACCGCTCGTAACCATAGGACCCTTCGGGTAAGCAGGGCTTGACAGGCTTCTACAGGTTTCAAGTGTTCCTGTAGGCTTTGATTAGTGCAACAGGCTAAGGCTGCTAAGGCATCGAGGGACTCAGTAAGGCGCTAGTAAGCATGATCCTAGTTGCCGTACTAAGAATCACCCTACTAGTCCCAAAAGCACCCAACCATAAACTCTGGAAAGCAACATCCGTACTAGGGAATGGAGCAGGCTTCACTAGTTGAGGCGTTTTTACTTATTTTTGTGGTTGCTTAAATGGAGCTCCCAGTGCGAACCATGGTTGCGTGCAAGTTAGTTCCCTTGTCTAAGCTTTGGTGCTTAGTTTGCAGGGTCCGAATACCTAAATAGTCGTTCTTTGCTGCAATTTAAGGCTTAGCTCCTCCCAAGGAATTCCTGTGAGAATTCGGAACTAGAACACATTCAACACTTACAAAAAAAGTACTCCCTACATAATACAATGCACCGACAGCAGCCCATAACTAAAAAACGGCTACACCGGAAGACACTTAACACCAACTTCGGAAGATGTGGTACATGTGCAAAACAAACCAAAGAACATAATTAATAAAGAGGTGCATGAACAAGCGAATACGGGACAATAATCGTGGGAAGCCCGACGCCCCTAAACTTGCAGCAGTCCTTCAAAGCATTGTTGGACAAACAAATTCGGCAAAGCAAGACCACCACGGAATCGCTTTTTGCAGCGATGAAGCCTTAGTGCAGTCTAAGTCGAAGGTTGAAAGTTAATCGTAACATAGGGGCTTAAGTAATGAGAATACAGGGATTTCGGATATGTTAACGTGTAACTAAACAGGAGTTATCAGCGGTTATCGTCCAGCCCCCGATAGGCTACGTTTTGCCTGAAGCTTGTAAGTGGCACTTGTGTTTTGCTGAAGGCTAATGACGTCGAGCTCCGTTGCCGCTTCCGGAATACCGAACTCCTTAAAAATAACAGGGTTGGGCTAGTGGCACCCTCGGCAGCAACACTGAAGCTCGGAGTACAGGGTCCTCGACAGTTTAACAGTTTTACTTGGTTTTGCCGGATTTCAAACTAGACCTACTATCGGGATGCTAAGGAACAGCAGTGCAATACATTCAGGCCCCCATATTCGCTGCTGGGGCTTCATAGGAATAAACAGATCTGTGGGCCTGGACTAGTTCCACGACACCCAATAAAATCAATAGCCTCAGGCTTCAAACAAAATCAAAAGATTAAAATCAAATAAACAAACAAATATGCACACGTAAGTAGTTCACAGAAGACGACGCTCGATAAGAGGACTCTCGAAACCAGAGACTGCAAGCCCAAAGAATCCAAACAAACCTCGAGAAACAACACTCAAAGTCGCCAAGTTGCTCACCCGGAGGGTGGGCTGTAGTCGCAGGGCTTTAGGTGTTCAGGTGTTTCGTGGGTCTTCGAGCTCGAAACACCCCTGACCGTCTGAACCCCCCGTCCAAAAGGATGCTGCGGAAGCGCCCAAAAGGAAGACGTTGCGCTGGCCGCAGTTGTAGCACTCCAGGGTGATTTCGCCCAAGGTGCTCTCCGGATGCAAGGAGACCTGTCGGGTGTGGGTTGCGGTCTAGAGGGATTTAAGGTTTTTTTGGGCCGAGGGTTCAGGGTTTAGGATTAGGGGTTTAGGGACTTAATCTAAGATTTGGAGTTTGGGGTTAGTGTCCTGGATTTATGAGGTCTAGGGGATAGACTTCTAGGTTGTAGGGTTCAGGGCTGTCGGGGTTTAGGGTTCAGGGTAGAAGCCAATAGAGCTCACGAACAAGCCCGATGCAGTCTGAATTCCCTTCCATTCGAGCTCTGGGGCGTGCTGGGGTTTGACGGTGTGGGAAGGAGGGCCTGAAGTTTAGGTGCTTGGGTTTTCAAGGTTTGGGAGTGTCGGGGTCAAAGTCTAGCAAGGCATAGTGTGAGGTAGGAGATTCGGCGTTTAGGGCCGATTAGGGTTCACCATGAGGCTCCAAGTATTGCTGCGCTTGATGAAGTCAGAGAGGGCACAGCCTACTGCGGACACATTCAACACAGCAGACTCAAATAAAACGTCTTGGGCGCCGTAACGTTCCTTTCCGTGACATGGTTGGCAGGCCTTGGAGGCACATACAGCGTCACAGGCGTCCCTGTGCGCCATGGCCAGCCTCCGATCCGCTCGAAAAAAAGATATCGCCATGCGATCGGTTGTGCCTGGAGCGACACGAACTTGCTGGCGTCGTCAGAGCGCAGCCTCGCGACCCCGCAGGACTGAGAAGCATTGCCCAGGCTTTGCGGCCTCCCATTGCACGGAAGTTACGCCTTCCTCCGGCCAGTCCAAGGCATCTGTTTAGGCACAGACTTCGCTGATTTGGGTGCACAGGGCAGAGGCCCGGACTCCTTCTCTTGCCTCTTTCCCCCGACATCAGGATTATTTTAGCCGATAATTCAAAAGGCTCAGCAGTAGGTCCAAGCATTGCGCTTAGCACATTGAGTTGGCATGTTCTGCGCTGAGGGCTGAGGGGGTCGTTATACAGGATCCCTAAACCCTAAACCCTAACTGGCACAACACTGGGCTAGGGTTTGAGGTCTCAGGGTTTAGACCGAAGCACTAATCCTCTTGCAAGGCCTCCATGGGAGAAAGGCCTTGGATACCCACTCCAATCGCTTCCGCCGCAACCTTTCTTTTATCAACCCATCCCGAAGCCGAACTCAACAACTCCACATCATTCCAGGACTTCAGCTGCCTCGTCGCATACAAACCAAAACACACATTTAAACCTCAACGGCACAGAACACCTAGTCGTGCCTCCTTCTGCTTGGCACGGACCAGGTGAAGAATGATGCAGCTACCTGTGTTGTGCTTCTACTCAAGGAATCAGTGGACATAGATCTTACAAGCAAGGCAACTACAGTCCAATCATAGCACCACAAACAGAAACCCCAGTACCCAAAATTCGCCTAACCCTAACTGTTTGCGAAGTCCCCTGAACCTCTCAAGCCTTTACCCCCCCATCCCCTCCCCCCCTCTCCCCCCCCGGCACCTTGAGTTCTGAACCCGAGAAAGACACACAGGCTCCACAATGGTACCAATGGTAGTGTAGGGGCTTGCTATAATTAGAATAGGGTTTTGGGGCCCAATATAGTATAGTTATACTGAAGCACCCACCAAAATGCTATTGGGATTATTTGGGCCCCTACATTATGCACGGAATTAGGCCTCAAAGGACCATCCTCATCATGGTTTGGGGGACTCAACATAATCGTAGTCTATGTGGAGCCTCTTGGATGGAGATACACAAAAAAAAGCTCTGCAGTAGGAAAGCTAGGCCCCAAAAGTCTTTGGGGTCCGGGGTTTAGGGTCTAGCATTGGGGGTGTAAAGTTTCGGGGCCCCATTCCTGCATTGAAGAGCCCTCACTCCTACTCTCCCGCACGCAAGTACGGAATCATTGTTTCGTTTGGACGCGTAGGGTTGATTTCAACATCAAGATCTGGGCTTTACGCTCTGTTGATCCCGGGGTGTGGGCCTACAAAGCTCGCTATCCTATGCCTCGGTCTATCAGAACCTGCAGTTGCCGAATGTACAGCCACGAATGTGCGTCGTGAAGCCCCGGAATAAACGTGTCATCTGTTCTTCAAGGTGAGGCCTTCAAACCGGAAGCCATATCTAACCCGCAATATATCCTGAATCTTAAATTAAATCCTTAGAACTCCGGAGTCCCCAAACCCTGAAACCCCAAACCGTACTTAAGAGGTTCCGGGACTTGGGCGGCAGGATGATAAGTACCAACTAGAGTAACTAGATATGACGGTAGTTGCCCTACCTTAACCCTGCCTGATAAGCCCCTGACCCCCTGACCGGAGCCTCGCAGTCTTTTAGAAAGCGTTTTGATCGCCAAGGCACTCGGTAAGCCAGGCAGGCGAACGTTGCAGAACCACTTCCCATCACCTGGCGGTCTACAGGCGTATATGAGTTTCCTTCAGGCGGAGGCATAGGATCTGTATATGGGGTGTTTTGGGTGTGCTCCTCAATCATAAACCCCGAAACACCCCAACAAGCCCCCCGACTTTAGGTTTCCGAAGCGTAGGGTATAGTACCTATACCCCACGCCTCGGAAACCTAAACTCGGAAAACTTCCCCAAGCCCCAAACCCCAACAACCCGAACCCCGAACCCCTCCTCAAGGCTACGCAAACCGCCCCGCCACCCCTCCTCAAATTCCACAAACCCCAACCCGAACCTCGGCACTTCATCACGCTGCCGGGGCTGTGGATGCCACAGTAGCGGCAGTAGTGCTCTGGCAACTCCTTCACGCTCCAAGCAGGTTTCCAAACGAAGTAAATACATGTTCTAAAGCACGGTAGATTGTCTTGCCAGTCATTTAGGGCTTTTCCGGATTCTTGTGGTAGAAATTGAAATGAGGGTTTTATGGGTTCGTACCAGGGTTTACAGGAAATTGTATCGGGGCCTGAATCATGAGAAGGGGGTCTTTGGGTGCGTTTGAATATGTGCTTGCATAAGGACTCTTGGGGGATGGGGTTTAGGGTTTAAGAGGATCGGAAGACTTCGTAAGTACGGCCCGGAAGCAGGTACCTAAGGCTATAACATGTTATAGCTACTTGTAGCCTGGCATCATTGTAACCATGAGTCTCTATGATAAGTATGGGTTATGGTTCCTGAAAGTCCCAAGGTGAGGCAATGCAATCCACAAAGCTACTAGGCCACTCCTCGACCCTTATAAACCCTGGAACCTACATCCAACAACCGAAAATCTGAAAACCCTGAACTCCAAACCCTACACTCTAGCCTCTAAACTCTAAACTCAACACCGAAAACCAAAAGGACCCCACAGTACTGCACCCTCATGCCTTTTCCAGAGATCCCGTCGTAACGGAGCCCTGAATTTGGTGTCCTTGATGTCATAGGGAGGCTCAAACTCCTGGCACATACTTGTACACTCAAACAGGGCATATGGTCTGTGTAATGACAAAGGGTATATGGTCCCCAACTGGGGGTTCGAACAGGGGCCCAAGCTCCTGACACAAGGTGTAATGCCTGATTTCCCCTATGACCTACTTTCGTCTCGTCTGCTTCGGAGAGCATCGATACGGGCGTAAGGCGTAGGATAAGATACAAGGAAACCATCGTTCTCCTCCCATCTACGAGGAAATGAAAAGTCTCAACTCGAGGGGCGGCAAACTGAGCGCAGCTGCGACGGCCCTAACATCCGAGCTCGGGCCAAAGACCTAAGAGCTGAACACAGGACCCTCATGGACCTTGGAATTAGGCTTTGGTGCAAAATTGAGAAAACGAGAGATATGAAAAGGAACCACCGACCCCCATATTACTGAAACCCTCTGCTAACTTGAGGTCTGAGATAGCAAAACTCGAACTGTCAAGCTGCACGCTTGCTTTAAAAGGAGCTGCACCGTCTTGCAGAACCCTGCTTGCGTGACAAAATCGAAGCCCCCAACTTCCGAAACTCTGCAGCAGCCAAAGCCCGACACCTGCCCTAAAGCCCTTGACTCCAGACCCTCCGCACGAGGGCTCTTCTGGACATCTCACACCTTGCAGGCCCAGATCAGGAGAATAAAACTAGTTAGAGAACCGGCTCCCGCAACGCCTAAGCCACATCCAAAATCGCCCTAAACCCTACCTCATACCTAAACCCTGCAACCCTCAATCCTCTCCCCCCCTTCGCGCCCCTGGCCGCTTCACCTGGCCTGGTTCAAATCCAGGTCATCAAACTGAAGCTCTGCTGTTGTCTGGTCCAGGAGGGAGACGACGGGCTCCTGTGAAATCCGCGACCCGAAACCCTAAGCCCTGCACTCCTAAACCCCTAAAAAGCCTTAAACCCTAAACTCCTCTGAACCCTGAACCCTATAGGCCCTATAAACCCTGAACCCCTAAACCCCTAAACCCTTCGGTCGGGGGCTTCGGCTCTGGGCCCAGCGGGATAGGCTGTGCAGGAAGCATGGGGTTCGGGTTGTTCGAAGCAGAATGTGGAGATGTTGGTTTGGGGTTTGGAGTTCAGGTTTAAGGTTTATGGAGACGTTGGTTTAGGGTTTGGGGTTTAGGGCTTCGGGTTGTCTCTGAAGGTTTCATCGACATGTGTCCCTGAAGAGTAGTAGGGGCCCCCTGAAGGATAGCAATTACGACGACGATGACGACGATTGCACCTGCTGCTGCAACGACGACGACTACGCCTTTGAAATCAATGTTGTTTCAACAAGTTCTACTCGAAGGCCCGAAACCAAAAACCCTAAACCCTACAACCATGCATAGCCATAGCCCGACGTGTTCTCTGGGTCATTAACCCTTATAGCCTCAATACCCGGAACCCTACAACCATGAACTAATGCAGCCATGCTTGTGAATGTAGATCAGTCACCGTTTTTACTCCAAGCCAAATCGCGAGTTTGTGTCCTGGGCCCTGTAGAGTCCCCTTTCCGTAGCCCCAACACCCTTAACCCGAAACCTCAAACCCTGGACCCCAAACCCTAAAACCTCAAACCCTATAAGCCCTAAGGACCCTAAAGACTCTAAACCCCCAGAACCCTCTAAACCTCAAGCAAAACCTCTAAACCCTGCAAGCCCATCCACTTCCCCTCGACCTGGCTGAGCTGAGATCGAGGGTCGTCTTGAGTCCCATCCTGGCGTACCACAGAGGATTAGACAGACTTGGGATCTTAGGGTTTAGGATGTAGTGTTTGGGATTCATATAGTAAATAGTGCTTAGGGTTTACGGTTTAATGCTTCGGGCTTGGAGTTTGGGGGTTAGGGTGTTCGGAAGGCTTCATTGTCCGCAGTGCCACGCAAAAACGGGCTGGTGCTTAGAAAGGAATGAGGGGACGCATGAATCGCCGAAGTAGGAGGGGGCTTCGGGTTTGGAACTCATTCCCATACAATGACTCCAAGGATACCAAAGCTCACATGTCCCTGGCTCCCCAAACCCTAAACCCTAAAGGCACAGTCCTTAAGTTGCTTAGAGCAGACACATCATGGGCATGGGGCGGAACTTTGCAGCTTGCGGAACTCATCAGGCTGCCAACAACTAACGTAGGGGCCTTAGTAAATAGAATAGGCTTTGGGCCCATTATACTATATTATAATCAGGAGCCCCAAGGAATAATATTGGCAATTACTTAGGCTTGTAATATAACTCTCAACCCCAGAACTCCCGACCTGAAACACTAAGCCACCCAAGCTCCTAAATATCAAAACCTAAAGCCTCAAACTCCAAGACTCTAAAACCACAAGCCCCTTAGAAGCCTTATATACAACACCAAAGAAGCCCCTGCCAGTACTACATAAAACCTTAAGCCCCTTTTCACAGCCCCAAGGTCCCCAACGTGAAACGCAGTGAAGATGAGGCCGGCCTGTGTGCCCTGCGTGGTGTCGTAAGGGTTATCCTGCGTGTTCTGGCTCAAGCCATCAAACCTTCGAGATCCAGAGGGTTAATAGGTTTAGGGCTTTAGGGGTTTGAGGATTTCGGATTCGGGGGTTTAAGGGTTTGGGGGCTTTAGGGGTTGAGGCCTTGGGGATTTAGGATTTGGGGGTCTATGGGTTTAGGTTTAGGGTTTATGAGCATAGGTGCTTAGCTTTTGGGGTGGTTTTCTGGTGCACTTAAACGATCCGAGGACTTGGCAAGTATGGTTTTAGGTAAGGGAACCATAGCTACCTGTCTGCATAAATCCCAACTGAGGTAGTGTTTAGACCTGCTTTTTTACTAAGTCACCTCTCAGTAGTGATCCAGTGCAAGGCTTCCGCTTTCTGGCTTAAGGCTTCGTGCTTCGAGTTTAGGGCTTTTGCTGGAAAAAAGGTGTCTGCATGTTGAGATGCAAAGGTTGATACATCGTATCTGTAGCTTGATTCAGTTTGCAGCATGCCATGGTGAGCTTCCTGCGCCGTGGGATTCCATCAGCAATACTCTGCCACCACCCGAACCCACAACTCAAAAGCCACAAACCCTCAAAGGCCCTAAACCCCATGTATCCGGCACAGAGATGTTGCCCAGGTTAAGCCCCTGCCCGAGTACTTAGGAAGAGGGTGGTGAGATTTCAAGTCCTAGAAAGTGCTCTTTCGGGACGAAGGAAAGGTACCGCAAGAGTCCTGAATGAGAGGGTACAGGTTCGATAACTAAGAGGGGACAAATATGTATTCTTTCTGTCCGATGGCTGGCAGCAAATTTTCCTCTAATGGGACCTCTGTGAGACAATGTCACTACATCAAGGCCCCTAAAGTCTAAACCGTACCGACGATTCTCGCCCACTGTCATGCCGTCGTCCCTTGATGCCGAGCTGCTGCGACCCTTGTGTATTGAATTCATCCAGAAAGTTGAACTGACCTGGCGGAGTTAAGTTCAAGGGTGCTCTGGGAGCTTCTACGGCTTATCTAAGGGTCTTGTAGGCTCTTGCAAGGCTGTCATAAGGGTTTGTACTGGGGCCTTTGTACTCAGAATCTGTTGTTTCTTGCTATGGCGCTACACGAGGACTATGTTGTTTGTTACTGTTAGGTCTCTGGTAACAGGGTTTCTGCTCAAGGCAAGGTTCTTGCTTAGCACAGGGGCGAAACGTAGCAGCACATTCTACACCGTACCACGCTGCATCCTAACACAAAGGTAGCACTTGTATCCTAGACCTTTTGACCAGGCTACAAGCCATTCCGAAATCCATAACAGCTGGGGCATGCTGATTCCGCTGATGATGCTACGACTGCACTTTGGAGAACAGCACTGCGACGACCAACACCATGACACTTCTCATGGTCTTTGTACCTGCAACAATCATCATTAATTATGACTGTGATTCGACGTGTCGCACAGCTTACATTGGTTCAGACTGACGGATTCAGACAGGCCTCTGCACTGGGGATGCAGGATATTCGGTTCCAGATTACGGGATTCGTGCTTAATCCGCGGCCTTTAGCAATGCGGGTATCTGTATCCAGGATTTTGGGAGCAGGGGTAGGTAGTACACCGGTATCAGCAATTGGCAGAACACCTCCAATGACAAGATCCAACCTGAAACCCTCCTCCCCCAAACTTGACACCCTGACACCCTGAATTCTGCAAGCACGCATCTGGAACTTCGACGCTCACATAGAGAACTCGAAAGTCGTGACTCTAAGCGAGAAAATTCGGATGTACGAGAACCGCTCACCGCTCAGCCCTCAGCCCTAGAACTTTAGGCCCAGGAGCATGCTCGGCACGAAACTCCGCAAAAAAACTTCGCAAACCCCTCATATCAATTAC